GAAAAAAGAAAACCCAAATACTGGTGGAATGACATTGACAAGTTGTTCAAGCATTCATGTTTCTCAAAATTTTACAACATTAAAGCAACGCCTTTCCTTTAATTTGCTGAGAAAATAAAAACCTTTAAAAAATGGTCAAAGAAGCCAAAAATGATAGCTTTGAGGAAAAAATAAAAAACAAATAAGCACAAACCAATGAAACAGGTAAAAAAAAATTCTTAAATATGGTAAAACAATATATCGCAACCTCACAAGACCCTATAACAATACACAAACAAAATGTAATCTAGCTATAAAATATAAAGAACTTAGTATATGTGATACCTAACAACAAAAAACAAAACTCAGCAGGAGGCCTCGATAAGATAACGTATAAAATGCTTAAGGCAATATCAGATAAAGCTTTTTACAATATACACACTGCAATAAATGACTATTTTCTAACAAATCAAATCCCCGAAAACTGGCATATAATAAAAAATAGTACCCATCGTAAAAAATATTGAAGTCCAATTCTACTGCTGTGTAAATCTACTTAAATATTTAAATCTGTCAATAAAAAAAAGACTAGACGAACATTTAGAAATCGCATACTTTGCGTACAGAAAAAAAAAAAACAAATCAGTTAACTTCTTAATGCATGAAATTGCTGTAGTGAACGACAATAACTTCGGTAAAAATAACAAGGTAGTAGTTTGCTCCTCAGACAATTAACGCATATAATTGGGTTAACATAAAAACTTCACGTAGTACCCTTAGCACTTTAAGAGTCAAAGAAAACTACATAGAATGGATCATACATTTTTAAGCCCTCAGGTAACTAAACTAGCGGAAGACCTAGTAGAAGTTAATGGCGGCCTGCCAAAGGGGAGCTGCCTATCGTTTCTTCTTTTTTTTAGCAAAGGTAGCAAAAAACAAATCCACATTACTGTAATAAATACTAGTATAGCACAAACCAACTATATACAATTTTTACGCAGCGAAATAAACTCCTCTCTGAAGAAGTACTAAGACCTAGGACAGCAATCAACTTCTATAAAACCTTTGTTAGATCCCAGATTGAGTACTGCCGAGCATCCACTGCAAACCCCACCAAGACGATTAACAAAAAATCCAAACTTTTTAAAACAGCTTCTTAAGAAAAGCATTAGGAATCACACCATCTACAGTCATAGACAAAAGTGTAGAAACACCTGTAAAATTGCACCTTTTATTCAAATTAAGCAATTTTAAGAATGCAGTTTTTTGAAGAAGATAAATAATCAACAATGAAATCCAGAAAAAAAATTTTAAATCGCATAGATAACGGCAAATTTATTAAAAACATGAGATCTAGCGGGACAAAAGTTTAAATACAACTAAAGAAAAATACCCATTGATTCGCAAGCTCTTTAGAAACAAAGTACCGTTATATTCAATGATTTAGCAACTTATACACATTTTCCCGGTATTTGACACGAGTTCTTCTCCAACAGTGAATGCAAAGTAAAAAAAAAATGAGTAAAGAAAAACAGATAAATGGTGGTGTTAAAAACTTAATGATTTAACATTTTTAAGAAGAAAAATCTTACCGAAACATAGGAAGAAATCTTGATAATTTTTATGCGAGTGTGCAAAACATTGTTCAAAAGTAAAAACCTACAAATCTGTTGGAAATCAGCCAAAATCTAGGAGTCCAAGGAAGCTAACCTGGCGAGATGTTAGTTTTATCATCAAGAAATTGACAAAAGATCCTAAAATAAGTGGTCTAAAGATAGCCGACACCAACACTAAAATATTGAGCAAAAATGTACACCCAACAACTATAGCAAGAACTTTATAGAAAGATAGCTATCGAAGCCATCCACCTATCACGTAAAAAGCCTCTAATATCTGAGAAAAGTAAGCAACTTCGTTCTTAATTTGCAAATAAATACAAGGGTACGGATGAATTCTTATAGGCGAATCGAAATATAACGTGTTCGAAAGCGTTGGCTGCGTAAAAATTTGGCGAAAAGCAATGAAGCAAAATTGAATACAAACCGTTATGCACGGCGAGGAAAGTGCCAAGATTTGGAGAACGATTGGAGCAACTGGTGTAGGACATTAAACGTTTATCAATGGAATAATTTACAAAAGTATTTTGGATCAACATGGGCAGTCTTCCATGGATTCCTTGGGAAGCTCGTAGATATTTCAACAAGACAACGGGACCTAACCATATAGCGGGTTTGGGGAAACAATGACTATCGAATTATTCTCCACGTCAGATTTATAGTCCGCCGCAATCACCAGATGTGAACTTCAATAAGCACATTTGGAGTTATTATTCGTCATTTTGAACATACACCCATACTCATGCTATTTTAGCTCATTAAGAATATTACCAATTGTTTTTAATTTAATTTTCTATTCACTGCAAAGTATACTAATACCTAAGAATTTTAATATGTACATTTATAACTTTGTTAATTATATTTTCTCAAAGAATTTTAGAATTTATTTATAAATTGTATTTTACAAAGAATTGTTGTCCAAGTGCATTTCTGCTAACGAAAATGCAACGGTTAACAAAAATGTATCATTAATTCCAAATAATTTTAATAACTTTATTATTTATTTGCCCAAGTGCATTAGTTCCAAAGAATTTTAATAACTTTATTTTCAAGTGCATTCCCGCTAACACAAATGCAAAATTAACAAAATAATAGTATTCAAGAAAGTGGAAAATAAAGAATAAAGCGCAATTATTGATCGAACCTTAAATAAAGTTGTTTTATTTTTAGTTGTTTCTCATTACGAGAAAAAAGTTTACAGCTCAACATATAAACAATATAAAGAAATCTTCGACAACCTACAAGTAATAGAACAAAATTCAACGCACTCGAACATATTAATCAAAACTAAAACACTCACTACGAACAAAAACTATACCTAACTATATGAATGATTTACAACAAATATTTTGACGACTACACAAGGAGTAACTTTAAACTTTTATTCACAGACGCGTCAGTTCGGGACAGATACACCGGATGCACAATATATGACGACCTAACCAACCACTAGCCCATACAAATCTCGATTGACAGGCTTTTGTTAACTTCCAAAAAGCTAACGTCCCCAATGCTGAGCGTTTATTCCGCAGAGCCATCGTGACCGCTGCCACCCGCTTCATACCGGCAGGCCGAATTGCGGAAATCCGCCCAAATTTTCCGACAGAAGCGGTGATATTAGCATCCAGGCGCGACACCCTCCGAAGCTCCGATCCTGAGAATCCCCTTATCAGAGAATTAAACCCGGAGATTCGAAGAGTAGTCAACAATCACAAGCGGAAAAAGTGGGAGGAACACTTAAGGACCTGCAATCTCTCCTCTGTGGCAACCAAGCTCTGGGCTACAGTCAAGTCACTGTCTAACCCGACGAGACCTGATGACCGGGTGGAAATTTCATTCGGTGATCGCGCCTCGTCGGACCCGAAGAGATGCGTGAGCTACTTTAGCCGACTTTTCACACTGCATCCCTCGGTAGACAAAGCGAAGCGACGTGTAACCCCCCGTATGCGCAAACTGCCAAACAGCGCAGTGCTTGATTTCTCCAGGGAGGAGGTTAACGGGGTCATCGGGAAGGCGAAAACCTCCAAATCCATCGGCCCCGACGGAATAAGCATGCTGATGCTGAAACACCTAGGACCAGCGGGAGCAGAATTTCTCGCGAGGGTTCTCATTTTGTTTGTGACCACCCTAATGATACCCGATGTATGGAAAATGGGCAGGGAGGTACCATTTGTGCATTCACTGTATAGTATGATGATAATCTAACGTGTCGGCGATGGGAGTTTTTGAGGAGCATTATGATCTTCTGTACGATGGGAACGGCGAATATGGAACGACGAGTTGTGTTCGGAAATATTAAGCAGCAAATCACTCTGGTCTCACCGAGTAAAAAAATAAGAAATAATCCTCATAATTTTTACACGAATAATACTAAAAAACGGCGGTCTAGTGCTTCAAGAAGTGAGTTTTGTGTGCTTTGCATCTACCTTACCCAAGTAAAATTAAAAAAAAAAAATAATAATAAATAAAAACAATTAAAAAAAAAATAAATAAATAAAAATAAAATACAAAATTAAATAAATAAAAAAAAATATAAAATAAAATAAAAAAATAAAGAAAACAAAAATAAAAACATACGAAATTTTTAAATATTGAAAACGAAAAACACATACAAAGTAACTACTGGCACTGAATGCTGCAAAACTCAAAATAATTGCTTATAATATAAAAAATTGGGTGACTAAACTTAATTTTAGTATAACTAAATTACCCTATATAACTAAGATTTGTTAAATGAAAAATTACATATTGTATGCAGCCATTCCATATTAAACGTAACGAAAATGGTGATTTATTGACCGATAATATTTTATCTGGTTTAACCTAAACTAAGGTTTGTTATAGACGGGTAGTTTTCAAAACTAACTAAGCCATTAATCTTGACTATATATCGTTCCATATTGAAAAAATTATTGACGTATTGTTTTTTATAGGTACAATGGCTTGTGAATTGATTATCACCATGCGAAATTTTTTTTAATTAACATACTCACGCATATGCACTGGGAAAAAGTGTTTCAGGAAATTCAGTTAAATGGTTTAAAGTTTTTCAGCTTTTGTTTATTTCATCACTTCAGGTATTCCTAATTTCATTGTTTGAATTTTTTTTTAATCTGATTAAAGAGATGTATTAGTTTTCCAGTAACGTCAAATCTTCTGACGTCGATTAGCATTAGCCAACTTATGACATACTTAAAAGGGGTACCGTTATGATTTCATAAGTTTTTTCCCGTTCAAGAGGTCTAAGAAAAGTTGATTAAATGTTTTAAAATAATTTCTGCCGGCCTTAGCATGAAATTAAGCTATATGCTGAATTTAAGCCAAATCGAAGACCATCGCGCAGAAGCCCCTTACGTTTATTGTGAAATGGCCGTATGTATACCAGTAAAAACAGAATTATGTTACCTTCCGCTTTGATAGTACATACAGGAAGTCCTTATTAGCAGACATCATGGTATCTGGAAGGATCCGGTTTCCGGGATCTACGTCTATTTCTTCATACTCGCCTGCATTATTACCTGATATTAATATCTTTTTAATTGTACCAATTTCAGTACCCAAAAAAGCTATAGAATGTGGACCAGTAGTTGTTGCAGTTACCGACGTAACACTAACATTCTCGAAATGAAATAGTGCTTGTGCCGTTATGGGAGATGATCCACTAATCTTTAAACCAACCGTGCAGAAGTCTTGAATGTTCCCTATGGTCTACAAACAATGAAAAAAAAAAAAAACAGAATTTTAAGATAGTGCAATTAAAAAATAATACTCACCCCTGCTACTGGACAGTGACCATCATCAATCGTACCTGATATATAACCCAAGTTGCGGTCTTTGATTGTACCATTAAAGCACATATGGATGTTCTCATTAAATACTTCTTCAATATTTTTCAAGCTATATAGACAAAGAGACGAGTTAGCCTCGGCTTGATCGGTAATTTCATTTGACGGTGAGAAAGCAGCGACTAGCACAGCATCGTCACGTTTAATACCCATTTTTTGTGCTAATTTTTGTCCGGCTTGTGTAATTTTTGCATCGCGTAGGATGTTATAATCAATATTGCCCTTAGTTGCAAGACATTGGATAGTCACTTCAGTATAAGTGTCGTAATTCGGATCCGTCACGCATATTCGCGCCAATCGCGTGACATAACCGGCTTCGTCAGCTAAATGAGATTTTTTCTGCACCAGTGCGAAGTAGGCATACTCTGACGAATTAAAACCATATACATAGTTGACAAGAAAGTGATCTCGATATTTTACATCAATATTAATAATAGATTGCTGTATGGAAAATTCAACATAGTTTAAATCGTCCAAACGACGTGATGAGATCGCAGGCACGTCGTGCCTATAATCGCCGACATTTGTAAACGTTGTCCCAACATAAAGAATATCTTCATTTTTCCAAGAATATTTTGCAGGCCCTACAAACGCATACGTAGAAGCAAACTCGTCATTTGCGGCCATAGGAGTTTCAATAAATTGCGGTGAGTTAGGAAAATTTGTAAGATTGTACATCTCGCAGGCACCTAAAAACCAACATTGTTTTTATAAAATGCTATATGAAAGCCATAGAGAAAAAGAAACATGGTTTACCTTGTCGCACACTGCCACATACAATTAGTGTTCCTTCTCCCTGTGTATAACTAAGAATTAAAATTTTATTGTGATTATTCACTAACGTGGTTTCGACATCATCAGGGCATCCACTGGCATGGCATTGGGGCGAATCAAATTTTGGTCCACTTATTGACTGAGACAATACCCGCATATTTTCATTTAACTGTAATATTTTATTAGTTGCACCGGCATAAAACACTTTTCGTTTAAAATCGTATGCCAAATGGGTGAAATAATTTTTCAACTGTGAACCATGAAGTATTATAGGGACTGACTGGTTGTATGTATTTAAGGAATTTTTTACTGTGGAAGCCGTACTATATGATTCTCCTTCGTTGTTATCCGCCTCTCGAGTCACTGAAGGTAGACTAAATTGTGCAATGATGTCACTAGACAAAAACTGCATTCCTACATGGGCTGTATTATTTGCGATGATTGATGCGCTTTTAAAACCGCTGCTGACATTTTTATTCCGATTGCTGCTATCATTCAATGCAGCTACAGTGCTCGAAATTGCGCAATATAATAACAGGAAAATATTTAATAAATATAAGAAACTTGTTTTTTTGCGACGTACCCAAAGCCGTATTTGAGTGAAATCATTCTCGCATATCCCTTTGTCATTTGACGGTATCAAAATACGAATATCAGACTCTTCGTTATGGAGTTTTATGTGATGAGACATATTGGTAGTTGTTCCGAGGACGGTTTCAATTGCATTGCAATGTTTTTACGGCATTTATCATCCGAATTTTGCCATTTAAAAAATTTTAACAGCAAAAAATTGCAATGCAAATAAATTTAAGTATTTGAAAGAGCTGTATTAAGTTTTTGATAATTGTAAAATACATTTCTTCTGCATAGGCTACGAATTCCGAGGCAACATTTCATTACTTCTGATTCTATATCTCAGTTAATTTCAAGTATTCTTTGTTTGGTTCAGAATTCATCAATGCCGTCGAAGATTCAGCCTTACTTCTTATTATTATTCCTGCACATCTCAGAACTTTCGTCTACTTTGGTGTAAATATTCTGAAATATCACGAATATTGAAATGAAAAATTATATATAAACAATTACTTTTGACATAATAGTTTATAAGTTGTTGTTGTTGTTGTTGTAGCGGTTCGCTAACCCCGCTTAGGCACAAGTTTGTTCAGTCTAAGTCGCCGAGGTCATCTAGTGGTAGGTCCAGGAAACGAGCTGTTTCGACGGGGTTGGAGGGAGAGGGGGGTTAGATGAGTGGGTTTGAGGGGGCATGTGAATAGGTGGCTAGTGTCGTGCGGGGACTCTCCACATGCAGGGCATACATTAGGTATGCTGGGGTCTAGTCTGGATAGGTAGGAGCTTAACCTGCTACAATATCCAGACCTGAGTTGTGTCAGGGTCACGCGGGTCTCTCGAGGCAGCTCGAGCTCATTGTCTGCTATGGGTGGTGGTATTTCTCCGAGTACGCCATTCACTGGAAGGGAGTCCATGAAGGTGTTGTTTGACTCCTGGTGAATGGCGTTCAGTGCTTGTCGGTACGCCGTCCTGTCCAGCAATTGTTGTGTGTGTTGCTGGATTGTGTCCTTCAATTCTAGTACTCCCTTTCTGATGTGCCTAGGTTGAGGTTCAGCATTCCAATAGGAACTGCTTGCACAGCAAAGCATTATGCTCCTTAACTCGTAGCATAGATGCTTCCCTGTGCAAGTGATGCTGCGGCGACATCAGGAGGTTTCCTGTCGCGGTCCTGAGGGCGGTGTTTTGGCAAGCCTGTAGCTTCTTCATCTGCGTCCCGTTCGTCCCCGGCGTCCAGATCGGAGCAGCATAGTTTACGACCGGCCGGCCAATTGCTTTGTAAGTAGCCAGCAAAGTTTCTTTATCTTCACCCCAGGTGCTGCCGGCTAGCGCTTTGAGTATTTTGTTGCGGCTCTGGAGTTTTGCGGCAATTGCGGTCGTATGCGGAGTGAAGGAGTGCAAGCTGTCTAGAGTTACTCCCAATATTTTTGGGTTATTAACCGTCGGAATTTTTTCGTCATCGACCTTTACATCCAGTTCAAGCCTGTATTCCTTCGTCCAGCTGGTGAAAAGGGTAGCCGAGAATTTTGTCGGTTGGATCCGTAATTGTCTTGCAGTGAAGAAGTGGGAGAGATCAGCGAGGTAGCCGTTTACTTTCGAGCAGAGGTCATCGGCATACGAGGTTAGGGAAGCTCCTTCTGGTGGTGGAGGGAGTTTCGATATATAAAAGTTAAACAGTAGCGGGGAGAGGACACCACCCTGCGGAACCCCCTGTTTAATTTTTCTGGGTTTAGATGTTATACCTCGGAATATTACCGATGATTGTCGACCACTCAGGTAGCCCGTTTAGGTCTACAGGTATAGTTTATAAGTACCAGCTATCGGTTTTGTCAATTTTATTTATGTGAAAAATGTTTAATCATTCCAGGACGCTGGACTGTACAGTGAAACTTCCGACTACAATTCTGAAGGATTTAGTCCCCTACGCTACAATGGTATGGTGAGAAGAGCACAACCGAAGAGTCATCGCTAAATACCCTTTGAATCAAAAGTCAAGCAGCGTCGTCAACATACAGCCTGCGAAACGTATGTACGCCAAGTAATTTTGATAAGCCAGCGCAATCATTTACATGAGCACATTATACTAATTTTGAGAGATTGCCATTAGAGTACAACAGTCAAATGAAGCCGTCGTTGCTGTTGGGCTTTGAAAATACGTGGCTTAGCGTGCGTCTGCGACTGTACAGGACAACAGTGGCAGCATACTCGCCATTTACACCAAATGCCTCGTGTTAAACATCGTTAAACGCACTTGTCACCGAATATTTTGCCGCCGGTACTATTAATTTGTGTTCAAACATGTTAAATCTGAAGATCAGATAATCCACCGTATGAGTAAACGTTTTGAAAACAGACTTCTGCGGAGAAGCATTCCACCAACACTTCATAACAGTTTTGACATAGCCTACAAACGTATGTTAGTAATAGAACGTAGAATAAAAACCAATTCCTTTGGCGACCGCGGTAGTCAAGTGGTTAGCATTGCGTATTGACATTCGGAAGGCTCGAATTGAAATCAATTAAAAAAAAAAAAATAAGTAAAATTTTCTGATTGCGGTCGCCCCTCGGCAGGGAACGTTCACGCTTCCGAAAGTATTTCTGATATGATATAAATTCTCCTCCATTATTGGAAATGCGCATACCACAAATCGAAGGAGGAGCCCGGCCGAAAAAATCGCTTCAGCGGTTACAGAACGCCAAATAAATATAATATTGTTACGATTTTGCTAAATCAACCTGGATGATTTTCTGAATCCTTCGGGTACGATCTCTGGCTTGTTAAATAAAAACTCGCCAACTTAATTTGCAGTTTCTTTCGTTATAAATAATTTATCTAATGTCCTTTATTTACTCAGTAATGCACAATTCAATTGCAATGTACTTTACTAGCTACAATCACTTGCATAAATTTTCACAATTTACTCTACTTAAATGTAATCCCAACGTGTTTACTTTACGACTTTTCTGATGTTAACGCCAACGAGTTCACTTTATAACTAACTTGATTTGGCAGCTGAGTGTCGCCCTTATATAGCAGTCGGCTGCTCGCAGACGAAAGTGTAGAATCATCGAGCTGTTCGCTATCGAAGGTTCTCGTTTGGAATGTACTAGTTATCGGCTTGTCTCTTTCATTTGACATTAGCCTCGTATTTTCGCAACACTGCCCTCCACCTAAGTCTGATCGTCCCGATCAGACACATTCGCTGTTCCAAACTCAGCAAGCCTCTCAAGGTGGACCACTTTCATCTTGTTTCTTGGACTTAAAACGGTTTGGATTCGATACACTACGTCGTTTAGTCGTTTGATTATCTTGTATGCAAACCCCTCTTCCGTTGTGGATTGTACAGCAACACTAAATCTCCTTTTCGGAAACCTTTGGGGTTCATCGCATTGTGATACATGGCCTTCATTTTGTCACTCATAATTTGAGTTCGCTGTCTGAAAGAGCATGTGCCACTCTTAGCTCTTCCTCCAGATCGGCAGACGTTACCTTCCCAATTCTTCTCGCATCGCCAGTCATTCCAAATTTTAAATCGCTGGGCAATCGTAGTTCACTAACAAACAGTATCCTCGCAGGTGTTTGCCCTGTAGTTACATGCACGGCGGACCGATATCCTATCAGGAAAAGCGGTATATGCATATCCCAATCATCCTGATGCTTGTCCACTACTTTCCGCAAGTGCTCTTCCAGGGTCCGGTTGAATCGCTCTACCATAATATCTGATTGAGGATGTAGGGCTGTCATTCGGGTTTTTCGAATACCAAGTATTTGGCACATCTCCTGGAACACCGCCGATTCAAAGTTTCTTCTCTGGTCTGAGTGCAATTCTATAGGCGCACCGTATCTGGTAACCCAATTGTTAGTGAATGCATCCGCAACTGTTTTTGCTTCTTGGTTCGGGATTGGGTAAACTTCAGGCCATTTACTGAAATAGTCCATAACCACGAGAACGTATTTGTTTCCTTGTTTGCTCATAGGAAATGGACCGCCTACATCCATGGCAACCCCCTCTAATGGTGCCCCTGCGTTATACTGCTTCATCTGCCCATGACTTCTGGACTTTGGGTCTTAAACTGCTATGCACTCCTTGCAATTACTAACCCACTCCGCGACCGATTGCCGACAGCCAACCCAATAGAACCGCTGCTTGATCTTTTCCAGCGTTTTTGTAAT